ACATTTTAAAACTTCATTATCAGGAGCGGGAGAGCGAGAGAGTGGGCTCGGCTCTTCATATCTGCAGCGAGGAGTGGATGAGAGTGGGTGTGTTGCTTGCTGTCGATAGGCCAGTCACGACTGTCCCACTTTCCCCATTAATGTCAGGACGTGCTCTCAGAGGCTCCGATGCTCTTTGGCCTTTTGGCTCGCTCAGCCCACTTCAGCACTTCATATCAATGTGTGTGTATGTGTGTGTGTGTGTGTGTGTGTGTATGGGGGGCTGCTCTTTCTTTACACCGCGTCTTTCCTCTGTTGATTAATCGGCGTATTTTTGGTATGAAGCGTTCACCCTTTCGACGCTCCCCGGAGATCAGTGCCACTTTTGAAATCGCACTCAGGCCCTGTTTTATTTTGCGCTGACATTAACGAGGGCTTCATCAAAACGTGCGCAACAGATAAACCGTAAAGTGTTTGCGATTGTCACACAGGGCCACTTCGGAGACCTGCAGGGTGAATAAAAGTGATTGAACTGCTGTGTGTTGAATCACAGTTTTAAGTATCTTAAATATAAAGCGCTTGTGTGACGAGCAGCATGGCGCCTTGCTTCTTTTTTATTGCTTTTATAGTCAAAGTGGGAGAGATCGCAGGATATTTAACCCCACTCTCCATACTTTTAAATCAGCACTTATATTAGTTCACACCACAGTGATGTTGAGTCCTCGATTCTGATTGGTCCGGAAAGTGTACTGTATTTGTCAATGTGCTTGTTATAATCTGTCATTGTTTCTATAGTAACAGCTCTTTCGCAGAGATTTGTACGGCGGATGCTCCATGTAAACCCATTATGATATCTTGAATGTATGGTGAAAAGTTTCTTTAACTTCTGTGGAAGGAGTCTCCAGTGTCAGAGAATGTGAGGTAAAGCTGTAACTTGACATTTTCTGACACAGGCTTTGTGGAACAAGCTGTGTTTTTTCTTATTAACATCACGAGAGAGAAAAAAGAGAGAATGGTTGTTTACAGTTGCTGTAACGTAAGTGAGAAAAGGACATTCCGCAACGTTAACCGTAACTTTAAATGGATAAAAGGTATGATGCGTTGTTTGTTAATAAATATTGCATTGCAATCATTGGCAAAATTGCTGTGATATAAGAGGAATAAAACACCCATGTAGTGCTGTGAGAGGAAACTAATCACCCTCAGGGTGGTAACGTTAACTCCTATAACAGATTAGTTTCCTATAACCGCATGACGCAGAGTGTTTTATTCCTCACTTATTCGTCTTTTTGTCTTTGGAAGTGTTTAATCACTGACATGTTCAATATTAGTTATTGGGCTAGAACATACATATATGGTTTATTCTGACCTGTTGCTATGGTGATACAGGTTATTAGTAAACTACACTTTTCATAGCTTTTCAGTTAAACAAGCAGTCAGAAAAAAACGCAAATAAAATTCACAGAAAAGATGATTCACTGAAGGGGAAAGGACACGATTCGTGAAAGACGCAAAAAATTAGCTTTTGGTAGCCGTTACGTTCACTAAAAAAAACAAAACAAACAAAAAAAAGTTACTTATTAATATTAAGTGGCGTCACGGCAGAACTTTGCCTCGCTGTTTTTCGTACTGTTGCTTAGCGTACATCTAGAAAAAAAGACTAGCTATATCATCTAATCATAGATCTAGGGTTCTCTGTGATAAAATTCTGTTTTTTTTTCCCTCTCAGCCTGCTAGGATTTTCTTGTTAGCACCTCTGGATCTACTCCTGTGATAGTTTTTACACAACTGGATGAGTCCAGGTTAATTGGTGCTTCGTTACTTTTTTCAACATTTAAGAATAATAATAAGAAGAGCGGCTACGTGGTAATATTGTATTCGTTCCATATTTATTAATTCATCAAATCAGTAAATCTCATTCTAATAAGGCTGGCGGTGATAAAATCTTGTTCAGGACTCACTCCATTGATTTTTTTTTATATCCTAAAATGAAATGAGAAAACAATACAAAAGGTAATCATTATTTTACTGACAAAACGACTACCATTTTGACACGACGTCTGATGGTGTGATGGCTGACGCAGTCGCTTTCTCTTTTGCGGGTTTTCTCAGCCGAATCATTCTGTCACAGCGGCTTTGGGAAAGTGGGCGCTGAACAGCTTGCGATAAGGAAGCGTTCATGCGTTAAGCTCGTATTGTCAGCTCTTGTTCACGCTCGGCTTTCTCTCCTCATATTTACACAGGCCCGTTCTCTTTTAATGCTTAGAAAATATTACTTTCATTAGTGGAGAGTTAATATTTTGTGTTTTGGTGCGGGTTGGAGCACGTAGTTTTTCCAGTCTGTAATCTGATGTGTGTAACCTCACTCGCAAAACAGTCCTCAGAACAACACTTCAGTACTCCAATGGTGCCTTCAATGGCTCTCAAGATCATACAGATTTGTCCTTAAGTGGAAAAAACTTCACTACCGTGGGGCTTTAGTGTATTAATATGCACGTGAATGTCAAAAACAATGTACCAAAGACCCTGTATAAATGTTACTACCACTTTCTGACAGAAACAACATTAGAGACAACATTATTAATTGTATTCAAGCACTTTAAATTAAAAATAAATAATCATGTCCATGCTAAAAATGGACGTAAAGTGTCTTTTTACACTTTTAAACAGAGGAAAACAACACAGGCGTACCCATGAGTAACGTTCTTATTTTAGCTACATAAACGCTGCACTCTAAGTACTTAGCATAGCTAAAGTTACCTCTCCTGCACTACCTGTTTGCCTTTAGTAGCTAGTCAAGTTTGCTAACAAGCTAGATAATATGAGAGTATGTACTAGCCTGCATTATGTCATTTTACACTTAAGATTAGCTAGCTAGCTAATATTATGCTAATGTATTGTATGTGTTGCTAGTCAAAACTAGGTTTGCTAGCTAGCAAGCTAGCAAACATTATGCGATTTATTAAAAACCATTAGCCATATTCACCAGCAAACTGGGTAACATGAGGCTAACTTCATGGGATTAGCTACATTCACAGCAAACTAGCTAACACTTGACTGAATTGGGAAAAAAAAAATATTTCCACAACGTTGTGATGTTTCTTGCTTTCTTTCTTTTAAACTCGTTTTTTTAAAGTGTGAAATCTCTTTTAATTGGTAAGAGCATACAAATCAGATTGCCATGATTAGCATACTAATCATGCTAATCATGCTATCCTGGTTAAAGTGGACAGGTGTAGCTGAAAATCACAACTGTTGGCTGTTGTGTAAATTTAAATTTTAAATTTAAGAAATGGAGTAATAGGTGGTTAAAAACTGTGAAGAAGGGAATCAAAGTTTATAGATTTTTTTGCGTATACTTAGAATATTTCATGTTATTTTTATTTCATTTGAATAAAAGCAAGTTTTTGTGATGTTTTCAAAAATATGGAAGCGTTATGCAACCTTTTTGAAACCCATTGTTTCAGAAAGGTTGCATAACTGTTCCATATATGATAATGATTTCATAAAGCTCACATTTCCACTAACACAATATTCCCATTATGAGCACTTTTAGAGATGCCAGATCTATGCGACTGCATTTCTATGGAATCATGAGATTTCACTCGAGACCAGAGTGCAATACTTTACCAAGCCATTTCAGTCCAATCTCATTTTCATCTCCATACTAGAGGCCATAACCGTAATCGTATAGAATTTCATTTCATATCATTCACCTTCAGAACAAAGACCTTCAACTTGACTGCGTTTTCAGGTCTCGTGACAAAAAAAAAAAAAAAAAAAAAAAAAGATTGTAACATATCAGCATTATGAATATATTTAGGATTCCCAGGTTGCTGATATAGATCGCTTCTTTTTTCTTATATACTGCTTGGGAGTAGCTTTTGTACCAAGGAATGCTGTGTGTTTGCTGACTTTGTGATGTGAAAACTGTGCACGGAGCTACCTGTTTATTTTTATTCGTGTAACACTAGCTCTTAAAAAAGCTAAAATTCCTTTGAAATGTGAGGCTGAAACAGCACGTCCTCTCTGCGTGTCTAAATCTGACTTTGTCTTAGGACACGTTCTTAGCAATGTAGCTCTTCCTCATGCTGATCAGTACAGAAATGACGGCTTATGGTGTCTCCATTTAATAAAAATCCACGTCTATTTTACTATATTTCTATATTTTTTCCAAATATAATTAGGGGTCCAAGCACAGAGTGTCTGTCAGTGGGATTTTAGGGATGACTTTAGGGATGGTCATTTGAAAAAACATGGCCAGTATCAGCCAATCAGTTTTCAGCAGGCATAAGCATTTGAACAACATGGCCAGTATCAGCCAATCAGAGTTCGGGCGGGTTTTAAAAATCAGCCAGTCAGGTTTATGGAAAAAGATGGTTGTCAGTAACGTTTGGCAGGGATTTGAAAAACATGGCAGTCATCAGCCAATCAGCTTTCAGCTAGCATTTGAAAAACATGGCAGTCATCAGCCAATCAGCTTTCAGCTAGCATTTGAAAAACATGGCAGTCATCAGCCAATCAGCTTTCAGCTAGCATTTGAAAAACATGGCAGTCATCAGCCAGTTGTTTTTACTTGGCCTCCAGGAGATGCTACAATACGATACATTTCTAGTTTGCGCAGAGATTTGGAAATTTTAGTGATATAAATTCATGAGCTAGCCTAAAAGTCAAAGCCTTTGTGTTGTTGCACAGTCTCATGTTTTGGTTGCCTGGAATTCGTAGCTAGTCTGAAAAATAGTAGCTAACATAATTTAACCCCAAAGTCTGTCCATCCTTTTTCTGTACTGCTTATCCTACTGTACCACTTATTGTGGGGAGCCTGGAGTCTATACCAGGCGAATTTGGGCACAAGGCAGGGGGACACCCTGGATGGCGTCCCAACCCATCGCAGGGCACAATCACACAATTTAGAGATGCCAATTAGCCTACAATGCATTTCTTTGAAGTGGGGGAAGAAACCAGACTACCTAGAGGAAACCCCTGAAGCAGGAGGAGAACATGCAAACTCCACACACATAGAGCAGAGGCAGGAATCGAACCCCCAACCCTGGAGGTGCGTGGAAAGCATGCTAACCACTAAGCCACCGTGCCTAACCCCGACGCATACTCAAATTCCCAGTGAGGACATGATTCTCTGCAGCTGTAGGCCTCATCCTGTCCTGACAATGTCTTTGAAAGCTGATATTTTTGCTCGACATGGACGTGTTGGACATTTTGAACTCTGGTCCGTCATCGTGTGCATATAATAAAAATAGTTCCTACTGATGACCAGGCCGTGGTTGATGTAGTATGTATTAAACACTTACAGCAACTGGATTATGTTAAGATTAAACAAACATACAGAGTAAAAATAGCTTTTTGCGAAAAAGAGTGTTTTTCTTTCTCTGGGTGGTGGACGGGGGAAAAAAAAGACAACCACGTTCTTAAAACTTACTATCTAAAACCTACTAAAGCTACACGTCTATTAGAAAGTGATTAGCCTGGACACAGAATCTACTGATTTTATCCACGTCTGCAAACTGAATTTCAAACAAAACTTTATCTGAAAATCACTAAACTTATGTCCATCATATTGAAACTTGCACTGATGCTATACATGCTATATATAAATCAGAGTCTGCTTATGAAGTAGAGTCTTCCACATGTTGCTGTATTGTTTAGTTTGGTGATTTCCCAGCTCTAGCACATTTTAATCAACTCGGGCAAAGAATTGATAAATAGCTGATTAGTTAAATCACACATTAGAATAGGCATAATTGACTCTTTACCGCTGGGAGTGTAATGCACTAGTTTAAGGGATAACACAAGGCTAATGTTGTGTAGAACTTGTGTTTGAAAGTGCTCAGAGAGATTCTTTTTTATTTGGACTAAAGCGCTGCTGGACTTGATGTTTCTTTTATTACTTATCAGTAATTCAGGACTGCGTACACTTAAACATGCTGGAGTCCATGCGGTCACACCAAATTTCCATTCTGGATCCGAATCTTGGGTCATGAAGCCGTAATTAATGAATTGTGCATGCTTGTGCATGAATTGTGCATGATTACAAACTTAAAAAAGTCATCTTAGTCCTAACTTCCTGGTTGGTTGGCTTTAAGATATACAAAGTAAAAAAAAAAAAAACATTTATGAAATCGACATACTCAGTGTTGTTAAGCAAGGAATAAAATAAAACACTCTGTGTGGTGTTCTATTATTGGAAAATAATCAACGACAGGTTGTAGGGATGATGGGCTGAAGTTGATTATTTTCCTGTAACAGCATAACCTTCGTCTTTTATTCCTCTTACACCAAAAACGACAATTTGTTAGTTATTAATAAACCACAATGTCATTATTTTTATCTATTTAAAGTTACATTTGTCCACGAAACAATTTAGTTCCTGTTATCACTTACAGTACATTCCAGCAGCTATAATGCTTTACAGCATTCCCAGTCATTATGCAGGCCAGTTTTATATTTTATTTCATTTGTGTTATTTATTGTGTGACAACGATTGAGTTGTGCGATTTTTGAAAGGTCGGAACAATAATCACTTCCTGTTTGGTGACTTTGCTGTCCAATTCGTTTCAGCGTATCAAAAATCCAAGAAACAAGTTTTGTTCCAGATGGTGTCCTGATGTTGCGATGGTGATGATTGGACAAAATTTGTAGGAGAAGAAGTGAAAAAAACTGTTATATGGCGTGAAATCCAATATAGCTGAAATGAACATCATAGTATCTGTTGAACTCTGTTTGACCCAAAGAATAATTGCGTTTCCATGACACTGTGTTGCAGAGTTATTATTGTGAACATACGTCCACATTTGCCCTATTGGTGGCACTGGAGGGCTTTAATGGCGAACACCAAAATGGCCGTGCAAGTAGCTTAGAATGTCCTCCATCATTGTGCCAAATTTTTTAGAAAAAGCCTACAAAGTGTTCGGTGAGCCGCCATAGACTCCATTTGTGCAAGTATAATAATATTAATAATAATAATAATACTAATACTAATAATAAGAAGAAGACATACATTTCCATTAAGTTTGCTTATGCACCTTTGGTGCTTGGCCCCCTAATAATCATATAAACAAATAGTCAATCAGGTCAAAAAGTCAAATCAGCTTGTTTTTTTTTTTTCCTCCCAGAGTATCCTGAATTTCCTTTCCATTTTGGCCAGGATGTGTGTGTATATATACACACATATAAACAGTTTTTGTGCATCACTGTAGAATTTTCTAGATTTTGAGCAGGCCATGCATTAGACAGCTGTCCTTATTCTGCCTTTGCAAATAGGCCAGATCTTATCTGCCCTGAAACACCGCCTCTGTCCTCCGAGCTAGCTCGCTTTATATATTTAATGATCCTGGAAAGTTTTGCTGACAGCCGAATAGCTGATAGCTGAAGCGACGGAGAACTGCATTGATACGGCTCTGGACTACAGAGCAGGTCGTCTCATTGTAGCTCAGAGTTTCCTCCGTTCTAGATAACGTGACGTTTATGTATTTATAAAATTCACAGTTCAGATCACACGCTCACTCGCTCGCTCGCTCGCTCGCTCACTCACTCACACGCTGCATTTTACAGTGTTTTATATTTATACTTATTTTCCCCTTGTCGCAGGACCGGAGCTGTAAACGAGGCCGTCTCACATTTCTCACATTTCCAGCACTCGGAGAATCTGTCTCGGTGCTGTCCAGAGAGGAGACACGGCTTCCAGCGTCGTCAGAATGAAAAGCCTTTTCATTCGCTGACATATATCTGACATTCACTTTCTGACACGTGTGTAAAGTCTGTACTTTACCGCTGAGATGGAGCCGTGATGGACCACTGCTTCTTCTGCTTTCTTCCTGTCTTTCTTTCTTCCTTCCTTTCTTTCTCTTTTCTTGCAGTAATCTCTGCTGGACATTCCGTCATTCGCCAAGTCAGTATAAAAGCCTGTCAGACATATATATATATATATATATATATATATATATATATATATATATATATATATATATATAAAAACAAAATTGCCGTAAATAAACGCGCCTATTTCCTTAATCACCCCATTCGTATCTGCGTCTGTTAATAACACCTCGGATCAATTTTATAAAAAAAATAAATAAATAAAATTGCCGTAAATAAAAACACGCCTATTTCCTTAATCACCCCAGTCATATCCGCGTCTGTTAATAACACCTCGGATCAATTTTCCCTTAATTAAATGTCTATTAATTGCACAGAATTTTGTAAGCACTGTTATTTATCACTAATGACTGGAAATTATTTTCAAGAAATTGAAGCGTTAACTGGCGCCCAGCTGGGCTCAGCGGCACAATTACACTCTTTTAAATGAAACTTTTTTTTTTTTGAAAGGAGCTCCTCTTTTTTTTTTCTGGGTTTCAAGATGAAATATGGAGACTAATATTCCCAGCTCCAAAAAATGTCTAGGCTTCGGAGAGCTGTTTCCATCCTACATCAACATAAATAACGTTTTCAGCCGAAATGACAGTAAAAGATGAAAAATGCTGAAATTTGGAGCAAGAAGATTCACGCAGGAACTTTTCCACCACGCCGCCTGAAAGCACGCCGTTAGACTATGTGTAGCAGATTTATATTATATTTTTACGCTATTTGTTTAATTTATTGTAAGTTCAGTCAGTAATAAATAGCTTTTCATTACCTCAGAGTTTATAAATTAAACGTTAATTAATTAGCCTTATATCAGCTTGGTTTCGTGATATTAAAAAGGACAGAATTTTTCGGATCACTTTTTAGTTTTTAGTCAGAGCAAAAAGCTCATTAATAATAATAATAATAATAATAATAATAATAATAATAATAATAATAATAATAAACCCAGCGCTTGTTTTCAGGCCAGAATTATTTTTAAAATGCAAAACAAATGATAAACAAAGTAGATTTAAAAAAAAAATTGCTAGGCAATAAATAGGTTCATCAGGGCATGCTGTTCTAGGAAAATAATCAGTGACTGGATGGTGTGATGAAGCAGTATTACTGTGCTTTATTCCTCTTACACCACAGCAACTTGCCAATGATTTTCAGTTCTTTTTTTATTTATTAAAGCCTGACACGTCATACTTTTTTAAATATATTTACAGTTACATTTAATGCTGTGGAACATCTCTGAAACATGTTCCTGTTCTCACTTACGTTACAGCAGCTACAAACAGTCGTTCCCTCACCAGCCTCTCTTTTTTGACGTTAATAAAAGAAAAAAAAAGCAGGTTGTCATGTTACTGAGAAACCGCGAAGAAGCGTAAACCCCTCTGTCCCGAAGATGTCGGAAAACTTGAAGTTGCAGCTTTAACTCTGACACCGGAGACTCCTTCCTTAAACTGTAAATAAACATCTCGTTGCTTCAAGAAAACTCCACCATGATCAACGATTCCGCTCGTTTTTAAGGTTTATGCGGCGCGTCAGCTGAACGCGTCCCTGTGAGAGAGCTGTTACTATAGAAACGATACCGCGTCAGAACGAGCGCACTAATATAAACCTGCGCTACTGTCAGAGCTGCTGTTCTAGAAAATTAATCAACACCTTCTGACCAGAATCTAGAATTTAACAGCATTGACTGAATTTAACTGAAGGTTTTCAGTCCGACTTAGTCGAACCTCAGTTCCTTTTCTGTGCTTTGAGTGCTTTTTGATTTCCATTTGCTCAGAGCTGCTCGTTTTTTTTTTGTTTTTTTTAACGCTGCTTCGCAGTTAATGAGACTTTTTTACGCCGCACAATCCCCCCCACTCCAGTGCAGCGGTCTGAGAATCAACCAACCTTCAAACTTTCTCTCAGTGATCGTGGATGTAAAGAAAGAGTACACAATTAAAAAAAAAAAAAAACCTCTTCAATTTCTATAAACTTTACAATCGTAGTTTGGTTCAATTAAGAAATGAAGGCATCTAAATTTAATCGACTGCATCGTCATGTCTGCAGGAGTGTAAATGAAGTCCTGTAAGCCTGCCTTAAATGAGTCCCTCTTATTTGCATAATGAACCTGTGTGTGTGTGTGTGTGTGTGTGTGTGTGTGTGTGAGAGAGAGAGAGAGTAATTGGAAAGGTTGCTCTGGTAATTATTAGTGAACAGAATATAAAGCAGTAAAGCCAATC